CTTGCTTTGGTCGCTGACCCCTTACAATTATTACAGGACCTCGGTAACCCCCGTGGACGCCGAACGCCTGCAGCGTATGATAACGCCATGACTGGTGCTCTTTACATAACAGAGATCGGCTCTGAAAAACTCATTGTGTGCTCTATTCACTCCTCGCTGACCCTTCCAACGCAAACCCGCGTTATCGCCTGGTAACAGTACATCATCCTTACTATACTTACCCCGTACAATTATCTCCTTTCAGCTTTAACCGCATCCATTTTATAATGGATGCATCTCGTGTAAGCTGAAGGGCTGAATCACCTTATCTCAGGCATTACAGAAGCACAGCCACTGGATAAATTAAACAGGATTATCTGGAATGGCGGGTTAACCTGAGAGATACCATCTGGTCGGCCACCGTGGCGACAAAATAAAACCGTTTATACGGGAGCTACGAATGGTTTCTGGTGGTCGTGTTTAATAATAATGGAACAGGGCAGCGGAGACAATGGAATTCTTCTTATTATTTTTTTCATGCTGAATCTTTCAAATGTCAGAAAATTACATTTTTTAGTGTACTGGAGATGATATGTATTGTGCTACTGTATTTGTATTGTTATTAAAGCAGAGCTCCGGGGAAAATATCATTAACCCATGCAGTAGGGGCACCCCCGCACCGGTAGCATCACTAAGGGTGACACCATTGGAGGGGTGACACCAAAATGAGTGACAGTCATTTTGGTGTCAACCCCTATGAAAGTGGGACAGCTGCAGGAGAGAGAGGAGGGGACCCGGCAGCATACCTCTTCCCGCCGGGTAAACGTCCCCATCTCTCTCTTCCGGCGTCCATCACCAAGATGGCCTCCGGCAGGTATCACCAAGTAGCCACGCATGCGTGATGATGTCATCGTGCACACGTGTGAGGACGTAACACGCGTGCGCGATGACGTCACAGCAGGGTGTCACCCGGTACTTGCTCCGGGTGACACCCGGCCCAAGGACGCCCCTGCCCTGCACTACAAGTGTTAACTGCTCAATTCCGTCTAGGTGCTAGGAAAAGTTATACTCACCCGATACCCTAAGCCAGCCGGCTCTTAGGGCTTGTTCACGCCTTGCGTTCAGGAGCTGCAGGAGGCGTGGCGGTGCTTTGCAGATGCAAGCACTATTTTTTCAGATTGCACTGGACAGGAACGCAGGCACTGATGTGCCACACGTTCTGGGACCGACGATCGCTCTATGGGCGGAGGGGCTGGCTGTGGTGCCATTGACTTCCATGCACTGCCACGCCCCCTCTCACTGGGGGACGGCCAGATGTTGGAAGGGGGGTGGGGGGACAGCCACAATATTCCAGGTTGCTAAGAGCTCTTAGCTCATGTGACCCAATGAGATGCTGTCTGAGGCAGCATCTTATTGGGTCTAGAGACATTGCCTCTTCAGTCCTTTCCAGGTTTTCTGGATCCTAGTTGGGATCCTGGAGCCAGGAGATTTCTTAGAGCTCTGGGTGGGACGAAATCTCCAGTTCTGGGTCCATGCTTTGGTAGTGACCGTCACCTAATTGTGCACCTTGTTTCACATCCCTCATGAAGAGTGTGCTGGGATGTGTTCAGGGCCCCACCTGTGAGTCAGGAGAGCTCCGCCCCGGAGTCAATGTGGAGGCCGAAGCAGCAGTGCTGCAAGAGAGACTTATTAAAAGACTGGGACATCGTGAGTGTATGGGACAACTCGAAGATTGGTGAGCCCTCATCTGTTATATGCTACAGCAAGCTATTTATATTGGATTTCGTGATTATCTACCGTTTTGAAAGAAAATAAAGACCCTGTGTTTTGAAAAACCCGCTGTGCGAGTGCTCTGTGAGCTCCCCAATATCACTATATATATATTATATATAACTAAAAAAAACAACACTCGATAAATTAACTTATCAATGGTTCTATCTGAGATATGTGAGATAAGCCCTACAACCCGTGGCTCAGTATGTGCAACTTAATTCATAGGAGATGCAACAAATATGGACAATAATAGGAGAGACTAGAAGAGCTTCCACCATAAGTGTCTGAAGACCGTTATCACCGGGAGGGATGTTACAGTGTGTTAGACAATCTCTTTAACCAATTCAGAAAGACTAGAAAGATCACTTTATTGCTTATGTGTAGAGAGGAAGAGCTCCTCATGTCAGCTCGGTCTGGATATTCAGCCATCTCACACATCTCTCGTCTTATATTATTCTGATGTAAAACCCGCAGCACGGATCGGGGAAGATATACTCTTATCTTTTGGAGCTCTATATTTAGGCAGAATTTATTGCCATGCCAGGTTCATTTTAAAGAGACCCTATCAGTGACTTGCAGGTAAAAGCACAGAAAATCAAACATTTTAAATGTGTAGCACCATGTAAACAGGCGTGTTATTAAATTTAGTTATTGTCAGATTGAAATCAGTCTGAGGTTGATCTATAGTGCATACTCATTTGTTTTTTTCTGAGCAATCTGTGGTTCTTGGCATATCTGCCTGCTGCTGGGTGCGTCCTTGCCACAGAGCAGAGCAACTAATAGGGCATTGTTTTGAGTTTCTGGGGGTGATTTACTAATCTAAACACACGCACGCACTAGGTGCGTGTGATTTTTACACAGCAAAACGTATTTATCAACCAAAAAGTCTCTAAAAGCATATTTCCACTAATGCCATATATGGAAAAATCATGCACATGATGCATATATAATGCTGCTTCACAGTTTAGACAAAAATGGTTAGCTCATGCATTTACATTCCTGCATTCATCAACGCAAGCAACACAATGTAGAGCTAATTTACACAACATCACCTTGCAATTCATGCTTGGCTTTGCACAACACACCTGCTGGGTGTGTACACACTACAAAGGTGTCTAGATTCCACCAATAGATCATGCTGGAAGGGAACACACTACAGAGGTGTATACTTGTTCGTGGCGTGTTTATAAGGTTAGTAAATCAACCCCTCTGTGTCTCCCTGGCCAATCACTGGAAGGTTCAGGCCAGCGGTGCATGCTGGGGGAGTTGATAAATACTTGGGGTGGACCATGTGTGCTCTCTCTTCCTCCCCCAGGCCCAGCCTGGGGGAGGGTGCTATGAACTGTCTGGGATGGCTAGGCCTGAAGCCTGGGAACTAGCCATGTGCTTACACTGATGCCTGAGTCTGGAGGTCCAGTAGCTATTACTGATACTAAAGGTGAACATGACTGATGACTTCTGATCTAAGTACTGATTTGCAAGGTGTTCTTCACACAGATTGCCGTGTCTGACTTAAAGCTCCTAGTCTGTGAATGGCAGCAGTTACTGTGTTCTACTGATGGAGGATGGTCCTGACCCTGACCCTCTCTCCCTGAAGTTCAGCAATAAAGTCTCTCAGCATTTATATCCAGTTTGGACTTTGCTTTGTCGGTCGCCACAGAGGGTGGTAAGTGCTATTGGATCAGCCAGGATGCTTAAAATCCTTAGACAGGCTATGGAAGACACATTTATCCACCTGCTCCTTAGGGGGTGAGTGCTACAAATGCTAAAGTTGGCCAAACATGGACCGAATTTCATCTGTCTTCTGCTGAATTTGCCAAATTTTGATCCATCAGTGGCCTTGCCATTTTTTGATCGACTTTTATTGAAGCAGCCGGGTGAAAGATTGTTGGCTGAACAGCCAATCAACTGCAGTCCCTCTCGGGTATTCTGGTGCTGGCTGTCAGAATAAAATAGCCGGTAGAGAAGACTCCTCCATCCATGCTGTTTGGTGTGGATGTGGAAATCGAATGACTTCACTTGTTCAGCCCACAGTGCTTGGCCAGCTTCACTGGCAGTGGCTTTTCTTTCCATAAATTACTTTTTATTTATTTGCAATGTGCCTGTGAGCTTGCTAGAAAATTTGACAATACCAGGAAAGTCAATTCCTTAGCACAGACCCCTTCCTCTTTGCATATCATAGGTCTTTTTTTTTTTCTGGTAGTGTTTATTTGCTATTTGTGCTGGCCTAGCTACTCCGCCCCTTCCAGCATAATCTTTTATGTAGCCGCTGGGAGGAGAATGAAGGGGAATACCACAGAGCATCACTTGATCAGCAGCTCTGAGTCTGCTGGGCATCCCTAGATT